TTTATCCCCCCCACACACCTGCGGCTCGAGGCAGCCCCGGCTGGCGCGCGGCGGGGGCGGGACTTCCTCCGTCGCCTGGCAACGGGGTGAGACGCCTCGCGGATAGCCCCGCCCCGCGGGGCTTCGCGCCGGCGCTGATTGGGCAGCGCTCAGCTCCGCCCCCTCAGCGGCGGCCTTTCGAATTCGAAAGAGAGGCGCGCTGCCATTGGGCGAGCCCGGCGGGCGGGAACACAAGCCCCGCCTCCTCCATAAAAAACCCGCTGTGTGGGCGTGGCCTGCGCAGATGGAGGCGGGCGGCGGCCGTGAGGGGGCGGCGGGGGAGCGGGGCCTGAGGCGGAGCTGTCACGGCCCGGACCCGCCTCTCCTCCTCCTCCTCCCCCGGCCGGCGTTGTGTAACGGGGCATGGCGGGGCCAGGGGCCAGGCGCTGGCCTCCAGGAGGAACCACAGGCCGCGGGGAAGGAGGTAAAGGCGGAGCTGGGGGTCGGGCCGGGTCGGGCCTCTCGCCCCCCGCCCGCCTGAGGTCTCCACACAGGCCCCCTGGGGGGGAGGAGCTGCCCGAGCCCCTTGAGGCGGGTGGTTTCGGGGCTCTTTTCCTAGTATGACTTAAAATGTCATTTGTTTGTATCAAGGGCTATATGTTTATCACCTAAGCTATTAAAACAAGAGGAAATAAGGCAGAGGTGTTGGGCTGACAGCAGCCTCAGGTCTGGCAGGACGCGATGTTTGTATCAAGGGCTATATGTTTATCACCTAAGCTATTAAAACAAGAGGAAATAAGGCAGAGGTGTTGGGCTGACAGCAGCCTCGGGTCTGGTTGGACGTGGAGACTGGGATAACGCAACCAAATCAACGCAAAAGCCTGGGATTCTTCTTAAGTCCCAACTGAGGAATTATTCTCCCACCTGGCGAGTCAGAGTGCTGTTAAACGCCTTGATGGTGACAATTATTCCACTTCCAAAGCCCAAACTGTGCTTTCAGAGGGCGGTTGCGTTTTCCAGCCGCCTGACACGTGTATTTAAAGCTTTATAATTGCATTACCGTTGCTTCCTAAGCAGCCAGGCTTCCAGCCAAGGAGAACGTCTGCGGTTTGACTTAACTGGACAATCGAGAGTGCCCACGGAGGGAATTAAAACTTAAAAGTTTCCCTTCCTCAGCCCCTGCCTGCCCCGTCTTGCCGCGCCGGCGCCCGCCCTCCTCCGCACGAGGGAATTGCACAAAACCTTGAGTCCTCAAACCATCCTTGATGCAGAATCCACCTCGATGCGTAGATTTATGGTATTTAAACCCCGGCGACTGATTTCCCGATGTTTGTAGGAGCGGGACGGTGACGCTCTGACGACGGCGTTATCCCTCCAGCACGTCCCTGCCCGGGGAGGGAGATGTTTCCCATCAGGAGAACCGAGCTCGGCGCTTGCGTGGCCTCCTCTTTTCGGGGTGACGTGTAAAGATCCCAGAGCCTCGACCAGGTAAACCCTCGAGGTAAGGCCCCGTCGTCTCATTGGAGGTTTTCCCTGCTTTCTGTTGTGCCTTTCCCGAAGCGTGGGATGCCTCAGGTGTATTTTCTGCCAGTGCTGGTTGATTTTTGGGGGGCAGACGTGACGCAGACGTGTCAGGGAGCCTGCCTGGCCCCGCTGGGGCAACGGCCTCGAGTCACCTTTTTGAGGAGAGTTAGGAGATAAATCCTAACACAACGTCTATCGACAGACCGGTGCCTGCTCTGCCTTCCCCCCGACCCCGGAGGATCTTCCTCTTCCTCCTGGTGGGGCCGGAGCATCCCTTGGTGCTGAGCCACCCCCTTCTCTCCGACACCACCCGTCCTTCCCACCCCAGGATGGGTCCCAGCTCCCCCCCCAGCCCTGACACCCACTCGGCTCCAGGCTTAGCCCCTCCCCAGAGTCCCCCAGCCCCTTTTAATGGGACCCCTGCTCCCCCCCCAGCTCCGATTCCTGCAGCCCCCTGCGCTGGGATCCCCAGAGCTGCCCCTTACCCAGGTCCCTTCTAGCCCTGGCCCCCCTGTCCTCCTCCCAGTCCCTCCCAGTCCCTGCCCTGGTGTGTCCCCGCTCCCCACAGCCATGCCTCACTGGCCCTGCAGGGAATGGTACTGCTGGAAGGGCTGGGTTGGACCCTTCCCCATCCCATGGGATCCCCTCTGGGACACCCTGGGCTTGGGGACATCCCATGGGCTTGAAGCCCCCAGGCTTGGGCTGGCCCCATGGACTATGTGGGACCCCACATTTGGTGCTGCCCCATAGACCCTGGGCTCAGGATGACCCCATAGGCCGTGGGGGGGTGCAGGACCCCATAAGTTGTGCCCTGAGATGGTGGCGTTCCCATAGGGGAGGCCCCCCAGGCTGTGTGGGGCTGCACAGAGCAGTCCTCGAGGCTGTGTGGGGCTGGGAGGTTCCACAGACTGCCTGGGGCTGTGGGGCACGGATTTGGGGTGACCCTATGGGCTTTATGGGACCCTGGATTTGGGGTGTCCCTGCAGACTGTGGGGCTGCAGGGCTTGGGATGGCCCCAAAGGCTGTGTGGGGCCTTGGCGCAGCCCCCCGGGGAGGCCGGCTGGTCCTGTGCTGCTGCCACGGGTTTCAGGGGACTCTTGTAGCACCCTTTCTGTGTTTTTTTTACCCCAAAGTACCAGCTGGGTGCTCTCTGGAGCAGCAGGAGCAGCCACCTTGTTTTTCCTGTTCTCCCAGGACGTGCACACAGGGCGGTGCCGGAGCCGGGGCGCAAGAGCACCCCACAAAACCCCAAACCCTGTGCTTTTTGCCAAGAAATTTCCTGGGTTTGCTTATCAGGGGGTTGCCACAGGCTGTGTCACAGCCTCGGTGGGTGTCACAGCCTGGGTCTGTCTCGGTGATGCTGAGGGGTGTTTTTGGGAACAGGTCAAGCAAAATCATCCTTTATGAGGCTGGTGAAGCTGTAGCTTGTGGGTCGCGTGGGGACAAGGGGCCGAGTCACCCATCGCAGCTGTTTGGGAGGGTGCGAGCGGAGCGGTTTGGCTGGAAGAGCTGAACTGGATTAGAGATTATTGTTTGGTTCTTTGCTGATCCCTAATCTCTTAATTCTTCTCCGGGCGGGAATGCTTGAATCGGAAGCAGGGGTGGACCCAGAAGGGAGGAGGGGGTCGAGCTTCCCCCCTTGGAGGTGGAGGAGAGCGGGTTGGGGAGACGCTGCTGGGGTGACGTGTAAAGATCCCAGAGCCTCGACCAGGTAAACCCTCGAGGTAAGGCCCCGTCGTCTCATTGGAGGTTTTCCCTGCTTTCTGTTGTGCCTTTCCCGAAGCGTGGGATGCCTCAGGTGTATTTTCTGCCAGTGCTGGTTGATTTTTGGGGGGCAGACGTGACGCAGACGTGTCAGGGAGCCTGCCTGGCCCCGCTGGGGCAACGGCCTCGAGTCACCTTTTTGAGGAGAGTTAGGAGATAAATCCTAACACAACGTCTATCGACAGACCGGTGCCTGCTCTGCCTTCCCCCCGACCCCGGAGGATCTTCCTCTTCCTCCTGGTGGGGCCGGAGCATCCCTTGGTGCTGAGCCACCCCCTTCTCTCCGACACCACCCGTCCTTCCCACCCCAGGATGGGTCCCAGCTCCCCCCCCAGCCCTGACACCCACTCGGCTCCAGGCTTAGCCCCTCCCCAGAGTCCCCCAGCCCCTTTTAATGGGACCCCTGCTCCCCCCCCAGCTCCGATTCCTGCAGCCCCCTGCGCTGGGATCCCCAGAGCTGCCCCTTACCCAGGTCCCTTCTAGCCCTGGCCCCCCTGTCCTCCTCCCAGTCCCTCCCAGTCCCTGCCCTGGTGTGTCCCCGCTCCCCACAGCCATGCCTCACTGGCCCTGCAGGGAATGGTACTGCTGGAAGGGCTGGGTTGGACCCTTCCCCATCCCATGGGATCCCCTCTGGGACACCCTGGGCTTGGGGACATCCCATGGGCTTGAAGCCCCCAGGCTTGGGCTGGCCCCATGGACTATGTGGGACCCCACATTTGGTGCTGCCCCATAGACCCTGGGCTCAGGATGACCCCATAGGCCGTGGGGGGGTGCAGGACCCCATAAGTTGTGCCCTGAGATGGTGGCGTTCCCATAGGGGAGGCCCCCCAGGCTGTGTGGGGCTGCACAGAGCAGTCCTCGAGGCTGTGTGGGGCTGAGAGGTTCCACAGACTGCCTGGGGCTGTGGGGCACGGATTTGGGGTGACCCTATGGGCTTTATGGGACCCTGGATTTGGGGTGTCCCTGCAGACTGTGGGGCTGCAGGGCTTGGGATGGCCCCAAAGGCTGTGTGGGGCCTTGGCGCAGCCCCCCGGGGAGGCCGGCTGGTCCTGTGCTGCTGCCACGGGTTTCAGGGGACTCTTGTAGCACCCTTTCTGTGTTTTTTTTACCCCAAAGTACCAGCTGGGTGCTCTCTGGAGCAGCAGGAGCAGCCACCTTGTTTTTCCTGTTCTCCCAGGACGTGCACACAGGGCGGTGCCGGAGCCGGGGCGCAAGAGCACCCCACAAAACCCCAAACCCTGTGCTTTTTGCCAAGAAATTTCCTGGGTTTGCTTATCAGGGGGTTGCCACAGGCTGTGTCACAGCCTCGGTGGGTGTCACAGCCTGGGTCTGTCTCGGTGATGCTGAGGGGTGTTTTTGGGAACAGGTGAAGCAAAATCATCCTTTATGAGGCTGGTGAAGCTGTAGCTTGTGGGTCGTGTGGGGACAAGGGGCCGAGTCACCCATCGCAGCTGTTTGGGAGGGTGCGAGCGGAGCGGTTTGGCTGGAAGAGCTGAACTGGATTAGCGATTATTGTTTGGTTCTTTGCTAATCCCTAATCTCTTTAATTCTTCTCCGGGCGGGAACGCTTGAATCGGAAGCAGGGGTGGACCCAGAAGGGAGGAGGGGGTCGAGCTTCCCCCCTTGGAGGTGGAGGAGAGCGGGTTGGTGAGACGCTGCTGGGTTTGGCACAAACACAAGGTGGCAGCTGGGATCTTCCTTTCTTTTTGCTCTTGAGTCTGTTGGCAGCTTCTCAAAACTCTTCCCGGACTGAAAACCAACACAGAGATACTGAAATTAGGGCTACAAAGATGATGAGGGGCCTGGAGCATCTCTCTTTGGAGGAAAGACTGAGGGACTTGGGGCTTTTTGGTCTGGAGAAGAGAAGGCTGAGGGGGGATCTGATCAACACCTATAAATACTTCAAGGGTGGGTGTCAGGAGGATGGGGCCAGGCTTTTTTCAGTGGTGCCCAGGGACAGGACAAGAGGAAATGGGCACAAACTTGAACATAAGAAGTTCCACCTAAACATGAGGAGGAACTTCTTGACTTTGAGCGTGGCAGAGCCCTGGAAGAGGCTGCCCAGGGAGGTGGTGGAGTCTCCTTCTCTGGAGACATTCAAACCTGTGGGACCTGCTCTGGGTGGCCCTGCTCTGGCAGGGGGTGGGACTGGATGATCTCCAGAGGTCCCTTCCAACCCCATGTCATTCTGTGATTCTGTGATTAATAATAACAGGGAGATAATCAGCAGTAGCTAAAAGCCTTAATAGCGTGGTCCTAGGAAGCCCTTAATTTCCATAAATGAAAGGATAACTTCCCATCTTGAATTTAAGCTGTTTGCACGGGTGATTGCTCACACAGAAGAGTTATTTACGGCCCCGACCCTGGTTTTGGTGTGATCCCTCTGCCTCTGGCAGCCCTGCCCGTCCCCTGCTCTCAGCTGAAGCAGTTCCGAGGGGAATGGGGGTGTGTGCTAATCCCCACGTCAGCCCCACTTTAGCAAATTAGTAGTTTTCTGCAGTTATCACCACCTGGCTCTGCTATGGAGAGAGGAGGGTTATTCTCCTGATGCCTGGAAGCACCGTGAGATCTCCTGGTGTTAGGAAAGATGGATAAAATCTACGGCAAACTGATGAATTGGGATATTACACTCCTGTTTCGGTGTTGGTTGGGCTGGGATTTGCTACTTCCCATCTTGAATTTAAGCTGTTTGCACGGGTGATTGCTCACACAGAAGAGTTATTTACGGCCCCGACCCTGGTTTTGGTGTGATCCCTCTGCCTCTGGCAGCCCTGCCCGTCCCCTGCTCTCAGCTGAAGCAGTTCCGAGGGGAATGGGGGTGTGTGCTAATCCCCACGTCAGCCCCACTTTAGCAAATTAGTAGTTTTCTGCAGTTATCACCACCTGGCTCTGCTATGGAGAGAGGAGGGTTATTCTCCTGATGCCTGGAAGCACCGTGAGATCTCCTGGTGTTAGGAAAGATGGATAAAATCTACGGCAAACTGATGAATTGGGATATTACACTCCTGTTTCGGTGTTGGTTGGGCTGGGATTTGCTTTCCCTTGAGTCCTGGTTTGAGCGACACAGGATGAATTCCTCTTCCAATGCTTGGGAGAACTGCACTTTTAGAAGAGACTGGTGTCTGAATTTGTGACAATATTCACTTTACAGCCAGCTCTGGGGGGTGGGATTCAAGGGCTCAGTGTTTTTGAGCTTTTCTAGGTGCAGGGATGAGGAGGAGTGAGAGCTGGGCACTTGACCCAAGCTTCTTTACAGCCAGCTCTGGGGGGTGGGATTCACGGTCTCAGTGGTTTTGAGCTTTTCCAAGGAGAAGCGAGACCCAGGCACTCGACCCAAGCTTCCAACAGGGTTATTTCATACCATTTCATTCCATAGAAATCAGAAAGTTTGCTGGGGAGTTCTCTCTCTCTCTCTCTCTCTCCCTCCCTTGATGGCTGGGATCCAGAGAACTCCTTGCCCCGGTGCCAGAGTCCTGAGCCTTTCCCTTCCTTCCGAAGCCACAGCACTCACATTGGCTGTCCTGGTTCGGGAGTTCTCTCTCTCTCTCCCTCCCTTGATGGCTGGGATCCAGAGAACTCCTTGCCCTGGTGCCAGAGCCCTGAGCCTTTCCCTTCCTCCTGAAGCCACAGTGCTCACATGTGCTGTCCTGGTTGGGGGGGCTCACCTTCCTGGGATGGAATGGGCTGGAAAGGACATTAGGGGGCTGGATGGGTCCGGAGAAGGGCAATGGAGCTGGTGAGGGGTCAGGAGCACAAGGAGAAGGGGCTGGAGAACTTGTGAGGAGCAGCTGAGGGAGCTGGGGGTGTTCAGCCTGGAGAAAAGGAGGCTGAGGGGAGACCTTCTCGCTCTCTCCAACTCCCTGAAAGGAGGGTGTAGCCAGGGGGGGTCGGTCTCTTCTCCCAAAAAACAGGCGATGGGACAAGAGGAAACGGCCTCAAGTTGTGCCAGGGGAGGTTCAGATTATATATTATGAAATTTTTTTAAACAGAAAGGGTTATTAATCCTTGGAATGGGCTGCCCAGGGACGTGGTGGAGTCACCATCCCTGGATGTATTTAAAAGCCAGGCAGACGTGGTGCTGAGGGACATGGGTCAGTGGTGGTTTGGGCAGTGTTGGGTTGATGGTTGGACTCAATGATCTGAAAGGTCCCTTCCAACCCAGGCAACTCTATGAGTCTGAGAGATTGGCAGTAAAAAGAGCTGGGGGCTCTTTGGAGCTCCGTTTCTAATTGCTAATTGACCTTGTTCTTTCATAGGCATCGTGTCTCCCCAAAGCCAACGACGGGTTCCCTTCCTCTCTCACAGCAGCCAAGATGTCGCATCGCACCATCCATCTTTTCCGGAAGGGGCTTCGGCTTCACGACAACCCAACGCTGGTGGCAGCGCTGGAGTCCTCGGAGGTCCTCTACCCCCTCTACATCCTGGACAGAAAGTTCATGACGTCCGTCATGCACATAGGGGCCCTGCGGTGGCATTTTCTGCTGCAGTCCCTGGAGGATCTCCAGAAGAACTTGTCTCAGCTGGGCTCTTGCTTGCTGGTTGCTCAAGGAGAGTACGAGGCCGTTCTTAGGGATCACGTCCAGAAGTGGAATATCACGCAGGTGACTCTGGACGCGGAGATGGAACCTTTTTACAAGGAGATGGAGGCCAAGATACGGCGTCTGGGAGAAGAGCTGGGCTTTGAGGTGCTTTCTCTGGTGGGCCACAGCCTGTACGATACCAAACGGTACGTGATTGCACCCAAGATGTCTCCAGGAAGGTTTATTTTAGATTTAGCAAGCAGCAGGGAGAAAAGACCAAGTATCTTGGTCCTTCTGGATCCTAACATGCTTTTTTTTTTAATAAATTGGACCCTCTGAGATGGCTGTGGCACTGTTTGCTGGAGAATGTTTGTGTGTTGATCTGCTGGCAGCAACAGAAGGGATTTTGGTGGGTTGCACAGATGTCGGGCTGTGATCTCTGCTTAATGAGTTAGTTAATTTTTTTCCCTTTGGGCAGTTAAATTCACTTCAACCCTTACATTTAACTACTCCCTTAAACAGAGCGGAAGAGTGTGTTGATCTGCTGGCAGCAACAGAAGGGATTTTGGTGGGTTGCACAGATGTCGGGCTGTGATCTCTGCCTAACGAGTTTGTTAATTTTTTTTCCCTTTGGGCAGTTTAACTCACTTCAACCCTTACATTTAACTACTCCCTTAAACAGAGCGGAAGAAATTCTTTGACACAATTAATAGGACTTTTTTATGAATCTTTTTGTGTCAGATTTTTTTTAAATCTTTCTAACAGACTTCCAGCGATCTCTGGATGCGCGTGGATCCAAGCTGTTATTCAGAGCTGAGTGTCTGAAGATACTGAAATTAATAATCATAACAGGGAGATAATCAGTAGTAGCTAAAAAAGCTTTAACTGTATGGTGCTGGGAAGCCCCAAATTTCCATAAATGAACAGATAACTTCCTGCCTTGAATCCAGGCTGTCTGTTTGCAGGGTGATTGCTCCCATAGAAGAGTTATTTACTGCCTTGACCCTGGTTTTTTATGATCAATCTGCCCCTGGCAGCCCCAGAGGTGCCCTGCACCTTCCACTCTGCACACAGCTGCCCAGTTCAAGCCGTGGCTGGAATCCCAGTCCCAGTTTTCTTGTCTCAGGTCCTCAGAGACCGCTCTCAGGGTGGATGTACCTTCACCCAGGGAAGTTTTATTTGTAAAATCTGTAATTTCCACATCCGGTTGCAGGAACTGGGGCTGTTCCAGTAATTTCCACATCCGGTTGCAGGAACTGGGGGCTGTCACCTGGGGGCTGTCACCTGTGCTGTCACCTTCCCACCCCCTGACAGCTCCGTCTTCCTTCTTGCTTTATATTATGATGAAAAGTGATCTTGGTTTTATTTAGGATTTTGGACCTGAACGGTGGGACTCCCCCGTTAACATACAAGAGGTTCCTTCACATTCTGTCTCTGCTGGGGGACCCCGAGGTGCCCGTCCGAAACCTCACCGCTGAAGACTTCCAGTAGGTACCAGTTGGCCAGCAGGAAATTGCACGTCCCTTTTTTTCTCTGCCCCAAAGAAGAGCCAGGGCCAAACAACGATGGGGTGTTTTAGCTGTGACGTTGCATTATTTCTGTGCAGGGAGGGTTATTTGTTTTATGTGGAGGGGATGTGACCCTGCAGTTGGGAGGGCAGAGCAGACGAGAGGTGGCACCCTCCAAAGACTTCAAGCTTTTGCAGTGAGACAAACTTTTAAGAAATGTGAAAGTTTAAGAGAGGAACGACTAAGGAATTGCAGGTCTCTCTCTGAAAGGCAAGCTCTAGATTCCTCTCAAATGGAGATTTTGGGCAGGAATTGGCTGAACCACTATAGTTTTTTTTTTTTATGCAGGAAGTTTGGTGGAATAATCATACTGTTCCCTCCTGGTTTTAAATCTCTTCTCTCCTCCCCTCTGCTCTGTGGGATGGAGGGACCGAGCTCATGTCTCCCAGGACTTGAAAAGAAGCTCAGAGTCAAGGATTCTTATGCTTAGCTCTGCCTGAGGAGAGGTCAGTGATGCCCAGGGAGGTAAGGCTGGGGCAGGAGAGAGCTGGCCACTGGGGATGGGATGGCAGATCCTTGGGAATTCTGCACCAGGCACCTCCATGACCTCAGCTCAGTGTCATTAACATAAGCTTGGCTCTTCCCATCTTGGGGGAATCCCATGAATTCCTGAATTTGCCCTCAGATATGAGGGTCTTACATGGTAAGACCCGTGTAGGTACTGGGATAGATCAGTTCCTATATTTTTTCTTGCATGGTTTTGGTTTTTTGGGGTGTTTTTTGTTGTTTTTTTTCTTCTTTTTTCCTGAATTTGTTTCTTTGCACTTAATAAATTAACGATGCTGAGCGATAAGTGGTTCACGTGCTTCCCAGCAGGCCTCTGTTGTGCCAGTGCTCTGAGAGCTGCACTGGCCCCTTCTTCTGTAGGTGTCTGCAGCAGAGCTGGGCTCGGTTTCTCCAGGTAAGCCGAAAGATCTCTCTCGATCTCTTGAGTCCGTTGATGGCTTGTGAGAAGTCTGCATCCACCGGTGCTTCCTGTAACCTCCTTGGTGTTTTACAGGGGGGAAAAAAACCCACCCTGGTGCTCTTCTGGCCTCGGGGAAGCTTCAGCAGCTGAGGCTGCAGAGGAGATGTGGGGGGACGGCTTGGGGAGCCCCCACCTTGGCTTGGGAGGCGCCTTGGGGGGCTGATCTGCCTCATCCCCTGTGAAACCTCTCCCCACAGGCACGGTGGAGGTGGCACCAGTGCCCCATAGTTGTGTATAGAGTCTGAGGAGGCTCCTGGCTCCCTCCCAGGGATGGATGAGGAGTTGGGGGGACGCTGGAGAGGAGGTGCCTCCGAGTCTTACATCGCGGACGGGAAGCGAGAGGGATGTCTGAGCTGTGGGGGCTGCAGCCACTGCTCTGAGCGCTGTAATTTGGTGGGTCTGTTCCTCTTCCCCCAATTCAGGGTAGAACCAACTGGAGCCGTTGCAGGACGAGCTCTTTCTTCCCCCCAGGAGAGCACAGCCTGGGGTTTCTGGCTGGGCTTTGGTTCCCCCGTGCTGTGACAGAGGAGATCCTGGCGTGTGCAATGGGCAGGGGTCTTCCCCCTCTCCTGGCTCCGATCCCCTCTTTGAAAGAGGCCTCTCTCTCACATTAGGAGGTGTCAGCCCCCTGACCCGGGCCTGGCTGAGGGTTATGGGGTGCCTCTCCCCGTGGATTTGAAGCTCCCCCCGGAGAGCCCTTCCCCCTGGCGAGGAGGGGAGACCGAAGGGCTGCGGCGCCTGGAGCAACACCTGACGGACCAGGTCAGCCTTGATTTCACCTGGATGATGCTGGTGGCTCAGGGTGGGCTGAGGTTGGGTCCTTTTGTGCCTGGACCTTGAGAAGGAGGTGGAGTCCTTTCCAGCTCTAGCTGAGTTTTTCCCCAGCTCCTGGAAGCCAAGCCTACCCTGGTGCTGGCCACATTTAAGAAGATGCTTTTCCCCCCTCCCAATTACATAAAGTGGAAAAGATCTTTAGTTTCTGTCGGACCAAGAGAGCTGTTCCTTGGGTTATAAAATCACTCAATTCTCTGGGACCTGTGGGTGGGACATGGCTTGATGTTGGGCTTGGAGGTGCTCTATGTATCTGGAGATCTTGGAGGAGGGATGGCAGCCTGGTCTCAGGATGTGGTTGTCCTCGATGGTGGCATTTGTGGGAGGACGGGTCCCGGGTGTATTTTCCATGTGTGACCTCATGATGCAGAAGCCAATGGCCAAGAGTTTTTTTTTCCCCCTCTTTCATTAGGTTGGAATTTTGTCACCTTGTTCTGCCTGAACCTGGATTTCTGTTTCCATTTTAGGGCTGGGTGGCCAGTTTTACTAAACCCAGAACAGTCCCAAATTCGCTGCTTCCAAGCACCACGGGCCTGAGCCCCTATTTCAGCATGGGCTGTCTGTCTGTTCGCACCTTTTTTTATAGGTTGTCAAACATTTACGCTCAGGTAAGAATTAATTAGTCATAGTTAAGCAAATTGAGCACTCTCACATCTCCTGCCCGTGAGGCTGAGATTTAACACTCCGATCATCTTGGTAGAGACCTGATGTTACCAAAAATTGCTATTTTTCTAATGCCTTTTCACAGTGTCCTACGAAATCTGTGAGTGGCTTTATATGTTGTGTGAAACACGGGTGAATGTACATGGCTTTTCCCAATTAAGGTTTAGAAACACGATAAATAGGGAGCAGTGAGACCTGGACACAGCAGGGGGAAGCCCAGCAAGACCCTCCAAAAATTCCAGGAGTTTAAGACATCTGCCTGGTGTTTATGTGCAGTTTTGATCAGTTTAACCTTTTCAAGACGCTTTCAGAAAGCATCTGTTTTCATCTTTGACAAGTTTTAACTACAGCATAAGCCAAAACTGGCTTCTGAAAACTTGTTTGACTCTCAAGAAGTATGGTTGGAACCAAACCAAGAAAACCAAGGTCTCCCTGAGTGTCTTTCTTAAGAGTTTCTCACAAAACACGGCTGAGGCACCTGAATTCAGCTGGCTGAGCAGTCAATGTGCTCATTTGGTTTAAAATGCATGTTTGGTTTAACAAATCCCATTTTGGGAGGTAGATGGAGAGTGTTTGAGGTAACGCTGATGTCTAACAGAGTTCAGCTTTGCTTTTGGGGGTGTAACGTTGCTTCAGAGCTTTGATTTCTGTGGCTTTCATAGAATCACAGAATGGTCAGAGTTGGAAGGGACCTTAGAGATCATCGAGTTCCAACCCCCCTGCCCTGGGCAGGGACACCTCCCACCAGCCCAGGTTGCTCCAAGCCCCCTCCAACCTGCCCTTGAACCCCTCCAGGGATGGGGCAGCCACAGCTTCTCTGGCCAACCTGGGCCAGGCTCTCACCACCCTCCCACCAAACAAGTTCTTCCCCACATCTCAGCTCCATCTCCCCTCTTTCAGGGTCAAACCCTTCCCCCTCCTCCTAGGGCTCCCCTCCCTCATCCAGAGTCCCTCCCCAGCTTTCCTGGAGCCCCTGGAGGGACTGGAAGGGGCTCCAAGGTCTCCCCAGAGTCTTTTACTCTTTCTGGTAACGTGCCGTGAAGCCGTTAGTGTAAATAGATTAAATAGATTAATCTTTACTTCATGGGCTGGACAATCACAAAATGAGTGAGACTCCGATGGTACGTAGGAACTGAAGCTTCCACCTCGTGTGTCCTTTGCAGGCCAAGCATCACTCTCTGCCCCCCGTGTCCCTCCAAGGGCAGCTTCTGTGGAGGGAATTCTTCTACACGGTGGCATCGGCAACACCCAACTTCACCAAAATGGCTGGGAACCCCATCTGCCTGCAGATCCCTTGGTACGAGGATGCAGAGAGGCTCCACAAGTGGAAAACGGTAAGAGGACGCGGCTGCGTCTCGGTGTAGAGCTTTTCTTGTTGCCCTGGGATTGTTCCTCGCTGGCTGTTCGAGCTGGGACCTGTAGGGAAGGAGCTTCGTGCTTATTTTGGTGTCCTGCTGCAGGCACAGACGGGCTTCCCGTGGATCGACGCCATTATGACCCAGCTGCGCCAGGAGGGATGGATCCACCACCTCGCTCGACACGCCGTTGCCTGCTTCCTGACCCGGGGGGACCTCTGGATCAGCTGGGAAGAGGGCATGAAGGTTCGCTCCTGGGTTTTTGGTTTGCTCTCTTCTGGCTGAGCTTGAGAAAGCCCCTTCCTCCCCAGGTTCTGCAGGGCTGGCAGCAGGAGGTGGTTCTGTGGAGCAGCACCTCAACACGGAGCCTCGCTAGAAACCCCATGGTTTATGAAAATTCATGGTGTCGCTGGAGTCAGAGCCCCACTTTGCTGGGTGGAGCAGTGAGAGGTTGTTCACATCCCCAAGGCCTGGTGATTCTGGATGATTTTGGATGATTCTGGATGATTTTGGATGATTCTGGATTATTTTGGGTATCGGGGACCTGCTCGTTCATCATCATCAGGCATCAAAGCCAGACCTTTGGGCTTTGGGTTGCTCTATCACTGGGTTCTGCTTTAGCTTCCTACTGGGAAACTGGAGAGCCCTGTGAGAAGGGCAGCCCAGCCCTGGTGCCAACCTTCACCCTTCATCTCCCAACCTGGTTAATGGAGCAGGTTCAAGTTGGAGGCCTGTAACCAGTGGTGTCCCCCAGGGGTCAATACTTGGTCCAGTGGTGTTCAATATATTCATCAGTGACCTGGATGAGGGGACAGAGTGTATCCTCAGCAAGTTGGCTGATGATACCAAACTGGGAGGGGTGGCTGACACCCCAGAGGGCTGGGCCACCATCCAGTGAGACTTGGACAGGCTGGAGAGCTGGGCAAGGAAGAACCTCATGAGGTTCAACAGGGAAAAGTGTAGGGTCCTGCACCTGGGGAAGAAGAATGTCAGGCACCAGTACAGGTTAGGGGTGGACCTGCTGGAGGCAACTACTGAAGAGAAAGATCTAGGGGTCCTGGTGGACAGCAAAATGACAATGAGCAAGCAGTGTGCTCTTGTGGCCAGGAAGGCCAACAGAATCCTGGGCTGTGTAGGGAAGAGTGTGGCCAGCAGGTCAAGGGAGGTCATTCTCCCCCTCTGCTCTGCACTGGGGAGGCCACAACTGGAATCCTGCCTCCAGTTCTGGGCTCCCCAGTTCAAGAGGGACAGGGAACTACTGGAGCAACGGGCACAAGTTGGAACATAAGAGGTTCCACTCAAATATGGGGAAAAACTTCTTCACAGTGAGGGTGGCAGAGCCCTGAAAGAGGCTGCCCAGGGAGGGTGTGGAGTCCCCTTCTCTGGAGATCTTCAAGCCCCACCTGGATGCTCCTGAGTAACATGCTCTGACAAGCTCTAGGCAATGCTGCTTCAGCAGGGGAGTTGGACTAGATGATCTCTATGGTCCCTTCCAACTCTAAAAATTCAGTGAAAAAATTCAGTGAAACCTGTTTGGAGAGGGTCACGAAGGCAGGCATTTCAGGGGTGTTTTTCCTCTCTTTCTCTTCCTGTCCCTGAGGTGCAGGTGTTTGAGGAGCTGCTCTTAGACGCCGACTACAGCATCAACGCGGGGAACTGGATGTGGCTGTCGGCCAGCGCCTTCTTCCACCAGTACACCAGGATCTTCTGCCCCGTCCGCTTCGGGAAGCGCACGGACCCCGAGGGGCACTACATCAGGTAGGGCCACACACCCCACCGCCCGCTCCGTCACCGCTCCCCTGGCTCCTCCCACAGCAGGAGCCCCTCAACTCGGCCTGTTTGAAACACAAACCCCTCTCAAACAGGGCTCACAGCAACGATTTGATGTAACACCCAAGGAAACTGAGGCGCAGAGAAGCAGGGACATAGGGTGGCTGCAGAGGTGATGGCTGAGCAGGGCTGGGGATTGATTTGTGAGCAGTTGTTGGTTCCAGCACCGTGTTTGATCACAGCCTTGACTCCTCTTTCTAAAGGACTTGAGTAAAACTCCCCACAGCTCCTCCTGCCCCAGTCAGTGCCGCGTTTCTGGGTTTTGTAGCTGATCTGATTAATTTCAGGCACTTCAGTTTTATTCCCTGCTCTGAGAGAGTCCTCTGCTTCAAAGTCTGAGTTTCCTTCTCTCAGGATAAGGTACTGATGGGCGTCCTCACAAGGTGGGGGTGTTTTTGCTGCTGCCTGTGATAGGAACAGGCTGTGCTACCTCTGAGTGAGCAATTCCACTTCCCCACACCTCCTCTTCCTCACATCCTGCCCGCCTTTGTGCCTTGCCAAGGAGGAGCCCAGGCTGACGTACCCGAGAGAGCGGGGCAGAAAATGACTTCCCCATCCTCTAGGAATATTTTTAGATATTTTTAATCCGTTTGTTTTCCAGATTTATTAAAGTTTAGGATGAAATGTCAGTGAAAATGTTAAAAACCCAAAATATTTTGGATGAAGTCAAAACTGAAGTAATGTTTAAATCAACCCACTTATTCTTTTCTGTAAAATTAACTTTGGGAAGATATCACCCTATGGAGCTTTCAGAACATAAAGCCAAGGGGTTTTGTGCAAAATGAATCAGACCTTTCCCATGGACTGTAGTATCAGTATGATCACCGAGAATTAACGTGGCGTAGGTTGGCTTACGCTTCTCTTAAATGAGATAAATATGAATATTTATCTGCAGGGTTATAAAAATCCATATGATTCCTCTTCTGCAGGAAATACTTGCCTGTACTAAAGAACTTTCCCTCCAAGTACATCTACGAGCCCTGGACGGCGTCTGAAGAGGAGCAGCAGCGCGCGGGGTGTCTCATAGGTAACTCACTCGGCTGTGAGGATTCTGCTGCTGCTCAATGTCCAAAATAATCACATGCATGAGCTGGAAGCATCTCACTCCCGACAGAAGACATGCATTTATCTTCTGAAAATGGGTTAACCCAGCAGTCTACCTTCTGTCAGTTCTCCTTTAAAGTTCCTTTTAATGGTGAATAATCTCAGAGTACGTATTTTTGCCTCTACTTCATGTCCTAAAACTGTTGGATCACTGTAAGTTGTTGCCTTTGCACTTATCTGCCTGGGATTCCTGGCTGTCTTTAAATAGTATGGGAACATCTTGTGCTTTTACGCTCCCTGTAATGCATCTTTGAAGTCTGCTATAAACTTATGGCTAAATGGGAGCTTTTACTCTTTGATGGAGAGAAATCAGCACTTCTGAAGAGTAGGTCACATGGTCTAGGGAGGAATGACCCCATCACCGGTACAGGGTCAGGGAGACCTGCTCAAAAGCAGCTCGGCAGAATAAGACCATGGAGTCCTGGTGGACAATCAGTTGCCCATGGGCCAGCAATCTGCCCTGGTGGCCAAGAAGGCCAGTGGTCTCCGGGGGGACATCAAGAAGACCGTGGCCAGCAGGTGGAGGGAGGTCATCCTGCCCCTCTGCTCTGCCCTGGGGAGGCCCCAGCTGGAGCACTGGGACCAGTTCTGGGCCCCCCAGTTCCAGAAGGACAGGGAACTGCTGGAGAGAGTCCAGCGGAGGCTACAAAGCTCCTCAGGGGCTGAAGCATCTCTGTGCTTAGGAAAGGCTGAGGGACCTGGGGCTGTTCACCTTGAGAAGAGCAGCCTGAGAGGTGATCTCATCGCTGCTGAGCAAAAGCTAAAGGGCTAAAGGGGGCAAGAGGATGGGGCCAGACTCTTCCCAGTGGTGCCCGGGGACAGGACAAGGGGCAACGGGCACAAACTGGGACATGGGAAATTCTATCTCAACATGAGGAAGAATTTCTTTTCTTTGGGGGTGGCAGAGCCCTGGAAGAGGCTGCCCAGAGAGGTGGTGGAGTCTCCTTCTCTGGAGACATTCAAACCCACCTGGACACGTTCCTGTGCAACCTGCTCTGGGTGGACCTGCTCAGGCAGGTGGTTGGACTGGATGGTCTCCAGAGGTCCCTTCCAACCCCTATACTTCTCTGATTCCGTGTGATTCTATCTTACATGCCATTTATTTTAAGAAAAGCTGCAAGTGTTTGCCCTGCTGCAAATCCAGTGCCTTGTCCTCGATCGGTTCCGTAAAAGCCGCTGTCTCCGTGTTGTCCCAGGCCGCGATTACCCCTTCCCGATGGTGAACCACAAGGAAGCCAGCGCTCACAACCTGCAGCTGATGAAGCAGGTGAGGGAGGAGCAGCCCAGAACAGCCCAGCTGACGAGAGGTGAGTGGGGCTGCAGAGACTGTCCCTGGCTTTGGGCGTTGGGTTTGTGCTGATTTCCAGCTGTCCTGGGTTGAGCAACACAGGACTAACTTCTAACAATTGGGAGAACTCCGGTTTTAGAAGACTCTGGTGTCTAAATTTGTGACAATATTCACTTTACAGCCAGCTCTGGGGGGTGGGATTCAAGGTCTCAGTGTTTTCAAGCTCCCCAGGTTTGGGGATGAGGAGGAGCGAGACCCGGGCACTTGACCCAAGCTGCCAACAGGGTTATTTCATAACATGAATGGCACATTCCATAGAAATTAGAAAGTTTGATGAGAAGCTCTCTCTCTCCCCCTCGATGTCTGGGATCCAGAGAACTCCTTGCCCCGGTGCCGGAGCCCTGAGCCCTTCCCTTCCTCCCGAAGCCACAGCGCTCACAGTGTCCCACACTGGCTGTCCCTGCTGGGGGGGCACGGCTTCCTGGGATGGAATGGGCTGGGGACAGTCCTTATATATCTTATATTAGTATTGGGATTAATACTGGTTCATTATTATTGTTGTTAATTATTTAGTCTTATCCTATTTTTATTTCAACCCTCGGGTTTCCTTGTTTTCCCCAGTTCCCCTTCCCGGGTCGGGAGGGGTCATCGGGTGAGAGAATAATTGTCAAAACGACAATAAACTGTTATGGGTTTTCTCACACTGTAACACCAGGACGTCTTTCCTCTTGGCTCCCAGCACCACGCACTGCTCTTCCAGTTACTGCTCAAATGGTGTCCCAAGAGGGAAAACCAGAGGCCGAGCAGTGCCCCTTCCCTCCCCGCTGCCCTGGCAGGGTGGGAGCTCACTTCATAGGATCATAGAATTGCCCAGGCCGGAAGGGACCTCCAAAGGCCATCTAGTCCCACCCCCCCGCAGTCAGCAGGGACACCCCCAACTAGACCAGGTTGCCCAGGGCCTCGTCGAGCCTCTCCTTGAATATCTCCAGGGATGGGGCCTCAACCACCTCCCTGGGCAACCTGTCCCAGTGCTCCACCACCCTCACAGTGAAGAACCCTCTCCTCATCTCCAGTCTAAATCTGTTCCCCTCCAGCTTGAAGCCATTGCCCCTCATCCTGTCACTGCAGGCCTTTGGAAACAGACTCTCCCCAGCCTTCCTGTAGGCTCCCTTCAGGTACTGGAAGGCCACTATTAGGTCTCCCCAGAGCCTCCTCTTCTCCAGGCTGAACAACCCCAGCTCCCTCAGCCTCAGAGGTGCTCCACCCCCCTGATCATCCTTGTGGCCCTCCTCTGGACCCTCTCCATCAGGTCCATGTCCTTCTTATATTGAGGGCTCCAGACCTGCACACAATACACTTCTCCCTGCTGGAGGGATGCCCTCCCAAGAGCAAGACCTTCTCTGCCTTCCCTGGGTCTGCACAAAGAGCCTCCCCACCCCGGGGTTCCCAGCTGTGTCTCCTGGGCACAGAAATCTCTGCAGCTCTGCCCGCGCCTCTCATGAACCACAGGATCCTTAATTGTCCTTTCTACCATGATCTATCCCGCAGGAATTATTTGAGATTCCCACTGGCCACTAATGAGCAAAAAGCCTTAGAGAGCTGAGTTGCTCCAAGAAATTTACCTTTTGACCTTGTTTTCTAAGTAGGTTAAGCATATGCATAACAAACTGGTAATTATCGGGTAAGGCTGGGACACTCAGACTTTGGGGGAGCCTGAATTAATTTGGTATTTTCAGTCACGTGGATGTTTCAGTTATGGCACCCGTGCTCTTAAAATTGAAATCCTGGGGCCTGTGACGAGCTCTTGGCAGCGATGCTTTTGTATTTAACGTTACGGCGTGGCAGCCTCTCTATAGATTACAGAAATCCAACCTATGGCAGCTGGGGGGATTCGTAAGTATCCCTGCCTCACTTGCTGTGGTCAGATGGAATTAATTGCTCCCAATCCTGTGCACACAAATGTATCTGGGAGGCTCCAGATACAACCAGTGGATGCTGTCAGTTCTAGAGGGCAGCAGATGTCATCTACCTTGACTTCAGCAAGGCTTTTGACACTGTCTCCCATAAGATACTCATTGGGAAACTAAGGCATTTTGGGCTGGATGAGGGGACAGTGAGGTGGATTGAGAACTGGCTGTGTGACAGGACTCAAAGGGTAGTGATTAATGGAGCAGGTTCAAGTTGGAAGCCTGTAACCAGTGGTGTCCCCCAGGGGTCAATACTTGGTCCAGTGCTGTTCAACAGTGACCTGGACACCCCAGAGGGCTGTGCTGCCATCCAGCGAGACTTGGACAGGCTGGAGGGCTGGGCAAGGAAGAACCTCATGAGGTTCAACAGGGAAAAGCATAGGGTCCTGCACCTGGGGAAGAAAAATGTCAGGCACCAGTACAGGTTAGGGGTGGACCTGCTGGAGACAACCTCTGAAGAGAAAGATCTAGGGGTCCTGGTGGACAGTAAAATGACAATGAGCAAACAGTGTGCTCTTGTGGCCAGGAGGGCCAACATAATCCTGGGCTGCGCAGGGAAGAGTGTGGCCAGCAGGTCAAAGGAGGTCATTCTCCCCCTCTACTCTGCACTGGGGAGGCCACAACTGGAATCCTGCGTCCAGTTCTGGGCTCCCCAGTTCAAGAGGGACAGGGAACTACTGGAGAGAGTCCAGCAAAGGGCAACAGAGATGATGGAGGGATTGGAGCATCTCCCTGATGAGGAAAGGCTGAGAGAGCTGGGACTCTTTAGCCTGGAGAAGAGAAGGCTGAGGGGAGACCTTATCAATGCTGACAGGGATCTCAAGGCACTCAAATATGAGAAAAAACTTCTTCACGGTGAGGGTGGCAGAGCCCTGGAACAGGCTGCCCAGGGAGGGTGTGGAGTCCCCTTCTTTGGAGATTTTCAAGCCCCACCTGGATGCTCCTGAGTAACGTGCTCTGACAAGCTCTAGGCAATCCTGCTTCAGCAGCGGAGTTGGACTAGATGATCTCTATGGTCCCTTCCAACTCTAAAAATTCAGTGAAATTCAGTGAAATTCAGTGAAATTCAGTGAAATTCCACAAACCCTCGGAGATCTGGAAATCCAAAATCCGAGAACCAGTATCCTCTACTCCCCACGTTGTTTGGGTGCCTGTAAATAGCAGGTTTTTCTGCCCTGCTTTGCAGCTTCACCCACCGCTGTCGCTGGGGGCTGCCGCACTGACGTCAGAGAATGACCTGCAAGCCTTGCTTTGCAGCTTCACCCACCGCCGTCGCTGGGGGCTGTCACACTGACGTCAGAGAAGGACCTGCAAGCCTCAATTCTTCTTTTCTTCTCACCATAGATGAGACAGATGACCCAATGGAAATGAAAGTAAAGCGTGACCACTCGGAAGAAAACATCCCAAAAGGAAAAGTGGCCAGGATGGCAGATGACACCGAGGTCCCGTTGGAACCAAAGAAGGGCAAGAGGGGAGAGGCAGGGGGCAACTGAGCCGGGCTGTGCCCTGCAGGTGGTGCCTCTGGTTTGGGAACTGACCTCCAGGAGAAGTGTTGGCTCCTGAATGTGTGTTAGTGCAGTTATTTCAAATGGAATTGTCCATCTGTGAGCGGTAGAAGCTGCTTGTTGTTCAAGAGGTGACTGGTTTGGGCAGGACATGATGCTTTAATACTGTTTGAATCCATGCGTCTGTATAAATAGTTTCAGTGACACACACTTGTCTTTCTAACGTGCCAGATAAATGTCAGTTGAAGAATATGTGCGCATTAATGTGTTTTCACACATTACTGTTAACAACTTTATTTGCCTGTCTTGTAGTGACAGAGGTTCAGGGATTTTCAGGTGTGGTTTTTAGGTTCACAGCTGGTGTCGCAGTCCCTGGTCTGCGGAGGGGCAGCAGAACCCAGCCCCTTGTAAAGTTGTGTGTAGTTCTTGTGACTTAAGTGGGATTTCTTACGCTTTTTAAGGATAAAGTTGCAAAACATCTCACTGAATTAGGGCTGATGTTCAGCTTCATTCACCAGAACTCTGCTTCTTGGCTAATTCCTCTAGAAGTGTAGACTAGATGTTATTTCCATCGTACCACATGTACAAATGTACCCTTCCATCGAAGTGTCTCGTTGTGAGGTTTCACAAGGTGGGATTAGTCAATGATCTTCGTTACGGTTGGGGTTTTGGTGGGGGTGGGGGGAGTGGAGTGGGGTTTTTAATCACTGTAGGTATTCTTTTTGGTTTTAAAAGAAATAAAAGTGATTCCTGACATGAAAAGTGTAAGTTCTCTAGAGTAATGTATCATCATGGTTGGTATCCATCGATCCTCTATGGAAACCTGGCTGGAGGACACCCCCGCAGCGACCCAGAGCTCCCAAACTCCTTCCCTTGGAGAGCGTCCCTGGACGTGGTGCAGAAGCAGCCCAGGACCATGTGCACCAGGAGAAGGCCAAACGCTGCTCCTGATGGTGTCTTCCACCGCTGCTGGTGACCTGCAGGACCTCTCGGGGAAGGGCACGACGGCACAAGGATACAAACACAAATGCTGCAGGGACCATCGGACCCATCTGAGAGGTTGGTTGTACCCTCCTGCTGCCCCAAGCTCACATGGAGCTTCTGGAGGTGCTGATGTTCCTCAACATTTTAGCCCTTCAGCAAACCTCAGGATTCGCAAGGATGAGCAGAATGAGAGGCCGTTACCAAACCCTTGATGAGGAGACGGAGGTGGAACACAGGGCTTGTTGCTTGAGGGACAATGACCGCTGCTCTGAAGCCTCCTGGCATCCATCGTCTTTTTAGTTGGGTTCCTTCCTGCTGACAGGGATTTATTGCACCCTGGGCTCACAGGGTTGTAGCCCAAATGGCCACAGGAATGTGGAGCTGATTCTTACCTCATGTTTTAAGGCATAGTCATTACCTCCAGGTCCTAAATGGTCCTTCAGCTACCTGAAACATCTCTGCCTTGGAGTGCTTTGTGTCACCTGAGCTGCGTTGTGACGCAGCCCTGCATAGTCATTACCTCCAGGTCCTAAATGGTCCTTCAGCTACCTGAAACATCTCTGCCTTGGAGTGCTTTGTGTCACCTGAGCTGCGTTGTGACCCCTGGGAAGAGCCCCATAGAGCAGAGACAGGACCATCAGCAACCACTGAATGTTTTTTGGGGTGTAGCATCACCTCTAACATCACAGTGCAGGAGATGACTTTGGACATGAACATGCTTGCAGCCAGAGGGCCATCCATCCTAAGAGGAGAGACCTCCAACCAGGAAGGTGACCCTAGTCAGCCATCAAAGGAGCCAGGAGGACCAAAGCCTCTTCAGGAGACCTTTTGTGACACAGTAGCTGGAAGGTCTGGTCTTTGGTTGGAAGGGGTAGGACTCGGTCCTGCTGAAGAGCTGCAGCAGGAGTAGGAGCACATTTGAGCAGGAAACTTCAAGGGCAATGGAGCTCCAAGACATCTGCTTCTGGTTGACAAAGCAGCAATGGGGAAGTTCCTGTGAAGGAGAAGGACCAAGGTTAACTCCCCCATGGCAAAAAGACCTGCTCAGTAAAAATTAATCACCAAGAGAGAATATTCCTCTCCATCTTTTTCTCAGCTGTGGGGAACTGGACCTTGGAGGCAACACTATTTCCCTGTGGAACTGGTCGGATTTTTGAGCCAAAAAAATGCATTTGGGTTTCTGCTGGTGCAGATCCCTGAGCTCTGGGCATGAAAAGGAGCGATGGTGTCTCTGCTGTGTGTGCCCTGGCTTGGCAGTGGTCACACCTGAACCTGGCTCATCTGAAGTGCATTCACCACAGAAGAGAGAGGGGCCCGATGGTGACTCATCTTACCCGATTTATTTTTTTTTGCCCCTCTCCAACAGGCAGAAACCCGCTCTGTGTGTCCAGGTGATATTTTTCTTCATTCTTCCTTCTTTAGGAGGCTTGTCTTTTGAAGTTTACATTTTGGGGGTTGTGAGTTTAGGGCTTTAAGTGTCTTTTCTGATGTCATTTCCTTTGGTTGGTGTCGCAGTCGACGCTGCGGTGAATGACACCAGAGGTAGGTGGCCAAATTAGGTCATCTGGTTGCCTGCGGTGACTTCTGCTTTGGTGGGGACCTTTCCCAAGCAGACACAGAGTTTTCAGAGCTGCTTTATCTTTGTGACACGACTTCCTTCCTTGCTGCTGAAGAAACCTTTGCTGCTGATACCGTTCACTGGTTCAACCAGCTTCACTGGTGGCTCCAAGGGCTGCAATCACTGCCTGGAACCAGGAGCTACTCTGTGACCTTACCCTGGAGGACTCATCCCTGGGTGGTAATGGGTGGGTCTTTGCCAGGAGTGACAGATGAGGGCAGTTCCACACCTCACCTCAAGAAGGTCATCCCCAAGTGTTAAGGTTTGAGAAACCCACAACGATTTAGTGTTGTTCAGACAATTATTCTCTCACTCGATGAGCTCTCCTGTTTAGACAATTATTCTCTCACCCGATGAGCTCTCCCCATCTGGGAAGGGGAATTGGGGAAAAACAAGGAAAGCCAATGATAGAAATATAAATAGATATAATAGAATACTAGATAATTAACATTAATAGCACTAAAGAACTAATAAAATTACACAAGGACTGTCCCCAGCCCATTCCATCCCAGGAAGCTGTGCCCTCCCAGCAGGGACAGCCAACGTGGGACACTGTGAGCGCTGCGGCTTCGGGAGGAAGGGAAGGGCTCAGGGCTCCAGCACCAGGGCAAGGAGTTCTCTGGATCCCAGCCATCAAGGGGGAGAGAGAGCTTCTCATCAAACTTTCTGATTTCCATGGAATGTGCCATTCATGGTGTGAAATAACCCTGTTGGCAGCTTGGGTCAAGTGCCCGGGTCTCACTCCTCCTCATCCCCACACCTGGGGAGCTTGAAAACACTGAGACCTTGAAACCCACACACCAGAGCTGGCTGTAAAGTAAATATTGTCACAAATTCAGACACCAGAGTCTTCTAAAAGTGCAATTTTCCAAAACACTGGAAGATAAATTTATCCTGTGTCGCTCAAACCAGGACAATCCCAAACAGGGCTGAACGTCAGCTCTCATGCTGTAGGCACAAACGTCTCACTGTCTGCACTCAGTTGGGCTCCAACACATTTACTGAAGTGTCACGGTCCATTTAGATCTCTCACATTTACAGGGCAACGTTCTCTTTGATTTAAACTTTATTTCAGTAAGTGATTTAGAAATTTAAAAAACAAACAGGAGAAACAGGGCTCAATCCTCTTTGCCCAGACTATCATGTGAAAACACTGAGACCTTGAATCCCACACACCAGACCTGGCTGTAAAGTAAATCTTGTCACAAATTAAGACACCAGAGTCTTCTAAAAGTGCAGTTTTTCCCAAACATCGGCAGAGAAACTCATCTTGTGTCGCTCAAACCAGGACACCAAGGCTGGTGTCTGCCAGAGGAAACCCCACCTGGGAGGTTCTGCTGCGACCGACCCTCTTCATCCGGCATTTTCAGTGCTCGAGCATCTGTGTCCCAACACAAGCAGCATGTGCAAACAGTCCTGGCCAGCTGAGGACTATGCAGCAAGGAGCCATCAGGGAGGTGTTTGATGGAAGCCTGGAGCTGCCCCTGAACTTGGAGTCACCTGTCCGTGCTTCCTAGGGATGATGCTTTTTGGAAGAAACTCACTCACTCTGAGCCCAAATCACTGCAGTTTCATGGCTCCAGCTATGCCCAGCTGTGGGTCTGGGGCTGAGATCCTCAGTGTAGTGTCTATTTGACCCCTCATGGGCTGGGGAGAGCGTGAAGAACAACCTGCCTGTTCTCCAGACAACACAGCTAAAGGAGAAACTGCTGCCTGAGCCTTCACACACCATTCATCGTGTCTCATACACAGACACTCCCAGGAGCTTCCTGCTTCTTCAGGCTTGACCCTCGGTTTCCTGCAGCAGTCTCAGGTGCTGGATTTTGTAAAGTAATTAATGTAATTGGAAGGTACCAGCAGCAAGAACAGCCCGGGCTGGGTGCCTCCAAAGAGAGGGACCCTGGACAAAGGAATCCCTGGGCAATGACTCCCTTGTGATCCACACACCCGTCCCTCATGTGCCCCTCACCCACTGGCCTCAAAAATCTTTTAGTCCAATGGTGATTTTTGGTCCAGGGTATTCTAACATCTAATTGGGTTCTTTTTCTGTGTCTAATTGGAAGGTACCAGCAGCAAGAACAGCCAGGGCTGGGTGTGTCCAAAGAGAGGGACCCTGGAGAAAGGAATCCCTGGACAACAATTCCCTTGTGATCCACACACCCGTCCTTCATGTGCCCCTCACCCGCTGGCCTCAAAAGTCTTTTAGTCCAACAGTGATTTTTGGTCCAGGTATTCTAACATCTAATTGGGTTCTTTTTCTGTGTCCAGGCAGGTGGCCTCTTACCATGTTGATTCGCAGTCAAGGGTTGGAGCCTTCGTATCTTCTGGTTTATGTTCCTTGTGCACCTGCCCTTGTTGGCAGCAGATGGGGAAATGAAAAGTCTGTTCCTTGTGCACCTGCCCTTGTTGGCAGAAGATGGGGAAATGAAAAGTCCTGGACTTGGGAGACAGAGTACCAGAACATCAGTGTGATACCCAGCACTTTCCGTGCTGAAAGACTAAACAACACTGTACCATCTGCTGGGAAAAGTACTGAGAAGAGTAGTTTTTCTCATGGACTGAAGGTTTGAGCAAATCTACTCAAATCTACTTTGCTACTCGTGCAAAGTAGAGCTAAGCAAGCAGCACAAACCACACTAAATTATCACAGAATGGTGGGGGTCAGAGGGGACCTCTGCAGATTATCTAGTCCAAGCCCCTGCCAGAGCAGGGTCACCCAAAGCAGGGTCACCCAAAGCAGGTCCAACAGGAACATCTCCAGGTGGGTTTGAATGTCTCCAGAGAAGAAGACTCCACCACCTCTCTGGGCAGCTTCTTCCAGGTCTCTGCTACCCTCAAAGTTCCTCCTCATGTTTAGATGGAACTTCCCATGTTCAAGTTTGTGCCCATTTCCTCTTGTCCTGTCACTGGGCACCACTGAAAAAAGACTGGCCCAAATTATAATCCTAAATAATTTATTCTACTTAAAACTTAACTATTTATGCTAAACTATTAATACCCCACTGCCTGGGTTTGGCTGCATGTTTAGTGGAGAAATGGCTGGTTTCTGGAC